CATGTTAACTTCACAATATTGATAGCTATCCAACAAACATTTTACATAATGACTTACACTTTGTTACAAGCAATTAATTGGTATAACTAACTACATAGTATAATTGTGGAAAACTTCTGACGATATAGAATAGGTTGTTTATACGTGCTACATAGTAAACTATATTTACAGAGTTCTAATGCCATAGCTAGTTTTATTATCCGTTAACAAGAGATAGTTACGTGTTACATAGTTAACTATATTTACACAGTACTCATGACATAACTAACTATACTGTATTAATAATGGATAGTTAGCTATACGTGTTACATAGTTAACTATATTTACACAATACTCATGACATAGCTAACTATACTATCTGTTAACAAGGGATAGTTAGCTATATGTGTTACATACTTAACTATATAAATACAATATTCATGACATAACTAACTATACTGTCTACGGACACAATAAACATATTTGAACAACTCATCGTGCTTAGGTTTGAAATCTCAAACACACCAGTCTCCAAAACAACTCATTCACTCAACATCACAACAACCATAGTCCTTTTTGCCATCTGAAACAAAAAGTTAACTACGGTATTAGAATTATAGCTAACTCCAACATCATAAAAGAAAATTGAATATAGTCAACTATACGTACTTCTCCTTCCTTTTCGAAATCCACCGCCAACCCTGCTTTCCATCTTCTTCACCACTGTTTTTTTATGGATTTTTATTACCAGCAATAATTAATAAATTTATTAGGAGCAAATTTGTCCAACTACTTTTTTTCTATGCTACTCACCTAAATTTTTTTATGGACTAATTTCTTACTCAAAACATAATATTGAGCTAATTAATAAAAAAAAGGTAAAAATCCTTTTAAAAACAAATCTCACAAGCAATACAAATAGGTTTTTTCTTTTTTTTTTCTAATTAGGGTTTTTTCTTTTTTTTAAAATGTATATACAGAAGAATTTTATAAAAAAAAAATGTAGTGTAGATAGAAAAAAATCTCTATTGT